GAAAAATAATTTTTCAAATCGGATTAGTAGTTCCTGAGATTAGCGCGTTCAAACAAACAAACAAACTCATGCTCTTTATAATATTAAGTATAGATAAGAAATAAGCAGGATATTATTCCTATTAACTAATATCTACCCACTTCTGTTAGCAGGTCATGATGATAAACTTAATTACCCTGAATATAGATAAGGTAATCTCCACCAAAACTTGCCTAAATTCAATTAAATATGAACGACGCAGTTACGACTTGACTTACATTTTAGTTGCGTGGAATTTCGTGCATTCATACATGATTCATAAATCATAGCAGATTACATACTATGATACTCGTACCTTGGTCCACATTATGTGAACGGTACCGTGCGCCAACGGGTACAATTTTTTATCTATCTGTATCTATATACATATATAAAAATCGATGTGTAAATGTATGCTTCCTATGGACTTCAAAACGGCTGGAGCAAATTCAATTAAATTTTCATGAATTTCAGGCAGATTAGCCCAGCGGGTGATCCCGTAAAGTTTGGTAGTAGTGGTAATGCTAGTAATACCATTTCATCACTCACTGACTGATTAATCACGTAACGTCAAAACCTAGAATTACTAAGCATTTGGCGTTAACATTTTGTGAGATTAAAGTTTGTGTCCGTAACTTTAATCTGTGCCTGTAATATGGAACCTGCTAAGAAAGGATTTTGCGGAATAATTACATTTTAAGACAAAAAAGAGAGCATGAGAGTTGAATTTCTTACGAATCTTTTTAATTGAACTAATACACAAACAGCTATGAATTCACACACAGCTAAAAATTGAGTCAAAAATGTTGAGTAAAATCCACTCGCAGACGGAATCTAGCGAGTATGAAATTGCCACATTAAAATAACCTATAATTATTATATAGACAAAATCAAAGTTGGACATAGAGTTGGTACTTTTAATGATACCATGTCAAGACAAGACAGTCACAAGTCATAACTCATACGACATCCATAAAAGATTTAACATATTCTTTTTATAATGATTGACGAAATGTGCCCTCATTCGACATACAAAGAACCTAATAGCGAATAACAATCGCACATTGATTTGAATAATGAAATCAATAGTACATTGCTATAGTGAAAGGCATTCGATACATATTAAAATTACAATTTTTATAATTAAAATATTACACGACGTAGGTACATTTAAAATATACACATTCGGTACAAATATGATTTGGATTCCTTTTACTAATCAAACACCTCTTAAGTAAATAATATGTATACTTAATATATAACTTTTAGGAAATAAATAAAAGAACTTAACAACACCAACTATTTGTTACTACAATAACAAACTTTCCAATCAATACATCGATTACAATAATTAGTATTAAATTATAATCTTCTATAATGTACTAGTAAATAAAATAAATATGTTGGGACATTAACACGCAGCACCATCTAGTTCCATGGTAAGCTACGAGGCCTGTGTTATGGATACCGGATAGTCGATACAGTACACATATATAACTTCAAATACATACCTACATATTACAAATATAAACACCCATGACTAGAGTACAAACATTCGTGCTCATCCACAGATGAATGCCCCCAGCGGTACTCGAAACCGCGACCATTGGCACAGCGAGTAGGCGAATTTTATCACCCCAGGGTCATAGTCTATTTGTGTGCTAAATTTTATCTAAAACCGACCATAACATACATAAGTACAAAAGATACAAACATACAAACTTTCGCATTTATAATAATGTGATGTGATCAAACAACGTATCCCATGTGAACTATACATACGAGTGTCGAGTACCTATACATATATCAGTAGCATAAAATTAACGGTATCGTAACGTACGTTATTATCAATCATACAATCTTTATTATAGACCATCTGTTAATGTTTACCGTAATTCATTGAGTATACATTGCTTTTTGCTATAACTTGTAATATAAAAAAGCAAATCTTTATATATATAATTCTTCTGTGAGTGTGTATGTCACTGAACTTCTCTCAAACGACTGGACCGATTTTGATGAAATTTTTTGTGTGTGTTCAAGGGGATCTGGGAATGGTTTAGATTCACAATTTGAATAATAATTTTCATCAAAAAAATTATTAAAAAAAGTTTGAAATTTTCAAATTAAAGACGTGTAGACAGGACAACGTCTGTCGGGTCCGCTAGTATATATATATATATATATACACGTATGATATGATTTTAAGAAGATAACGGAATCAAAGATGAATAAAAGAAAAGAAGAATGGTTTGTCATAAGGGCTGCATGAGATACGCGTAAGTAAACGTGGTTTTTTGTAATTTTAATTGAATAAATAGTTGGTATTGTTAAGTTCTTTTATTTATTTCCTAAAAGTTATATATTAAGTATACATATTATTTACTTAAGAGGTGTTTGATTAGTAAAAGGAATTAAGGTCCAAATCAATAGTTTTTAACGCTTAATCTGTTTGTTGTTGTGTTTATTTGAATATGGATTTCGATAGGAAAATTGAATATACTACTTATTTAATACACCTGTAAAAAATAAGATAGTAACTTTCTATATTAATACGGATTTTACGATATTGTTCCAGGTGTCATTATTTGAAACACAACAATATTCATTTAAAATAGCCGAGTAGATCCATGCGTTACGTTTCTTCCAGTCAATCTTGAAAGACGCGCGTTATAAATAGCCAGTCAGCCAGCCAAAACAGTAAAAACTGTTAATTTAGCTTTTACTGTAGTGTCATAAATTATGTTTAATATTACATTATTGACCCCCATTCATTTTCATTATATATTTGTCATATTAATTACAGAAGTACTACATAATATTTATCATACCTAAATTTTGAAGGACATTATGGGCGAAGTAACACATAATACGAATTAAATAAAAGAAAATTTTATAAAACGAATATAGTAACATCAAAAACACACATGTAAAATGCAGAACAATTGTGAATGTACAGTGTTTTTGTGGCAAATTAGACTATACAATAATAATTTGTGTCATACTTTATAAACACGCGATTGTGATCAATATGCGCACCTTTATTACCACTTTTATTATCATAGGAATAATTACATAGTAAATTAAAATTAGAATGTATACATAGAAACTGTTGTTAGTGGAACAAATGTTTTCTATAAAACTTTCAACTTTTAAAATATATGTACATCTATACTAATATTATAAATAGGTAAAGTTTGTGAATTGTGAGTTTGTGACGTTGTAGGGGGTAATCTCCGGATCTTCTAAACCGATTTATATGAAATTTGGTAAGATAGTTTGAGACCCTGGGTAGGACATAGGGTACTTTTTATCCCGAAAATTATTCCTTAAGGGGGTGGAAATGGGAATGAAAATTTGTATGGGGAATCAACCTAGGGACGAACCCGAGCAAAGCGAGGGTGAGTCGCTAGTATATAATATGTACAAAATAATTGAATCTTCTGTAATTTCAAAATACCTATTACATATAAAGCATAATAATATCTAAATAAAAAAGTCAAAACAAAGTGGGTTAAGTTACTTAAGGCTACACAACAACGTAAGACGTAAGAAAATATGTTTACATTTACTTTTAACAAATATAAATATTTATATACATTTAATGTTTAGAAGTAAGATCAATATTATACTTCCGGATTTATAATAACATCATCACCATGTAAAGGTTAACGACCGCGGCTCTAACGAATATAATATTTACGTTTCGTAGCGTTATGGCAATTGGCACGAGTCGACTAAATTGCCTGAAAAATTTGTTGGTAACCGTTTCTTTTGATGTTTCACTTTATTATGCTTGTTATGGAACAGTAGGTTTGATAAAGAAGAGAAATAAAATAATATCCTCAATTTAATAATTATCAAAAATGTCGTGTGTGTTTGTTACTTAACCACGCTGTAGCGTTGAGATATCTAAGATTATTATATGAGAATAATCAACATGTTATCTATACATACCTATAATAAAATTCTAAAGAAGCCAAATCTGTACATTAAATATTTTTTGGAAAATCTTATTGAAATAGACATTATTATCGATACAGAGGTCGATTCTATTGTTTTTAGAATTATTGTCTGTCTGCTACCGCATCACGGCAAAACCATTGGAGGGATTTGGATGAAATTTGGTATGATGATAGCTGGTTATCCGGGTCAACATATAGAATAATTTTTACTGCGGGAAAATATCTCATCTCTGAGAAATCTATACTAAACGTTAAAACGTAAGTAGGGACGAAACGTAAGTGGGTCTAGCGACTCACAAAATAAAAAATAAATAAATATATATCTCTTTAATATACAAATATAAATAAATTAATATTTACCAAGCAAGCGGAGCCGCTATTCATTCAAGTTAATAAAATTAACGCCAATATCATAATTTATTATGAGTATTTATTGTACTTATTACGATTTAACTATTGTTATTTAACATAATATTAGCCTTGTGACACTATCAGCTGTGTTTACTAGAGCTATTAATAGACACTTGCATAACCTAAGCTATAAGGAACGTTAATATTTTATATTTCATTGTGCGTAGGTTACATATACTTCATTGTAAATAATAAACTTTTTCATTGCTATTGATTTTCCACGACTAAATGTAAGGGAGAAAGTTTTAGGAAATCGACATAATAAGTTCCACGTGCCGTCTGATCAATACGGTAGTCGGGACGCCGGCCGGCCGGCTGGATATGGCGTGTCACCCCCAAACACAGCTGATGCTAACCACCCTCACCCTCAGCTGGTTCGTTCACCCTTCACCCCACTCCCTTTACAACATGAATCGCACTTGGAATCTTGTAATAACATCCGCAAGAAAATAATCCCTTCGAGGCTAGTATAAGAGAATCATAATTTTCTGGTAACGCGTTGTACATTTATAATTCAATAAACACGAAAATCGAGTTGGCCTACTTCCAATCGTGACTGTCAAAAATAATGAGACGAATAAAGCGAATGTGTGAACTATTGAAAACATGTCATATAAACCTATTCAGTCCACATCCGCTGAAGTGCGAGACGGATACACAGAACAACAGCAGCAACAATACAGAAAATACTTGACACAATTAAAACTCGAATTTCAGCAGCGCTGGTGTAAGAAGATAAACTCAAACATAACATTCACGGATTTGGAACGCGTTCGAACTTTAGGTACTGGTGCTTTTGGAAGAGTCATCTTATTGAGACATGCAAACACACATAAATTCTACGCAATGAAAGTGTTGGAGAAGGAGAAAATTGTAAAAATGAAACAAATTGATCATACGCTGTACGAGAAACGAATTCTTGAAGCTATCAGATTCCCCTTTACTGTTTCAATGGAATTTAGTTTTAAAGATAATAGCTATATTTATTTTATAATGCCATTCGTTCCAGGAGGGGAGATGTTTACTCATCTTCGAAAAATGGGCAAATTTGAGGAACCAATTTCTAAGTTCTATGCAAGTCAGGTTATTTTAGCTTTAGAGTACCTGCATTATTTAAACTTAGTATATCGAGACTTAAAACCAGAAAATATAATGATAGATAAAAATGGATATTTAAAGATCACAGATTTTGGTTTTTGTAAAGTACTGCAAGGAAGGACATGGACCTTATGCGGTACACCAGAATATTTAGCTCCGGAGTTAATTCTAAGTAAGGGCTACGGATTTTCCGTAGATTGGTGGTCTTTTGGTGTTCTCCTGTATGAAATGAATGCAGGATATCCACCATTTTATGCAAATGAACCCATGAAAACATATGAAAAAATTGTTTCCGGTAAATATCGATGTCCTTCAAGTTTCAATGGAGATCTGAGAGATCTTGTTCGTAATACTCTTCAAGTTGATATTAGTAAAAGATTTGGAGTTATGAGAAATGGAGTAATGGATTTTAAAAACCATAGATGGTTTAAGGGTATCGAATGGGAAGCCATTCTTAACTGTCGTTTTCCACCACCATATATTCCAAAAATAAAACACCCAGGAGATTCAACAAATTTCGAAAAATATGATGAAAAAACGATTAAACCAGCTTCTTATTGTCGATTTGAATCTGAATTCATCGATTTTTAGTTTGTTTAAAATTATTAATCTTATTTTAGCGTAACATAAAGAGGTAATTGATATATTTAGATTTAAAATAATAGTGAAATTATTTATAAAAACAGAAAAAATAAAGCTTAAAATAATAACACGACGTTTATCACTGTTGATAGATGTTGCAAGATGTTCTTATATTAATAAGAACATCTTGCTTAATCAAATCTTTTCGTTTTGTTTGCACCCGATTTGAGCTCATGATAGAGCACGTGCGGAAACCACTTACATATGATATGCGCCGGCGCATAGAGGGGACCTTTAACAAGAGACGTTACGAAGATAACTATTTTTAGATTCCTATACAAATAAACAGTAATGCATTTGCAGAGATTTTCTGCGATTATTGGATCTTATGCATAGTTTACCTATTGGAGCTATATGTAACTAAAAAAATATATCTATTGTAATGCTTTAGATATCCTTTTACAAGTATATGTAGTACAGTAGGTAAGTGTTAATTATAGCAATCTTACGATTATAATTAGAGGTGAAAATTGTCTGTTTTAGTATCTTTAGAACTCCTAATAAAATCAAAAAAATCTATCAGTAACAGAAAGCTACATAGTAATTACATGGTTTCTAAGTAAAATCAGAGGCGTTGGCCAAAACTAGCGTTTTTTAGAACTATTTGTTTATATCATATACTGATGACTATACAGAAATTCCTGCAATTTTATACATATTTTATTAACAGATGGACGACATATTGTAAGAGTCTAAATACAATCATGTGCGACCTAAATTTATCAGTGATGCCAGTTTTAGAAAGGATAATGAAACATAAATGTTTTTATAGCAGTCCTAACGGTGTTCGCGTTCAAATAGCGTTGAGTGAATGCCATAAACAATTAATAGAATTTTTTATTAGGAAGTTATGAAATGTGCTTAGTTCAGATCATAAAATTAGTTACTGATATTAAAAAAAAAATTAAAGGGCTATGTGATATTCAATAAGAATAACGATAGAAATATCCTATGAGTTCTCTATAAAAGCTTAGACGTAAGTGCAAAAAGTGCAAAAGATAAAGCTTAATTAACATAATAACAGTCAATTATGGTCACAGCTAAGAGTAATGCCTTAAAACAATGGTAGCCTCAAGGTAATACAAGCAAAGGGTTGAAGAGAAAATCAACCAAGTGGAAAGCGTAGGAAGCGAAGTTCCGTCTCGCGTCACATCCGACGACGAGACATCCTTTTTATACGTAAGCAATAGTATTATAAATATTAAGCAGTGCTCGCAGGTTTGATTCTTTGAAAAGTTAAAAACATAGATATGAATATTTTTTATCTTTTCTAATGCATACATAGAATTACTATACTTTCTCCTTGCTTCTCTTATTAAATGATAAAAGCTAAGCTATAAGCAAACAAAAAATAAACCTGTTTCGGCAATATTTGTATAGTGCTATCAAAATATATACCTAATACTATATTATTTTTTTACTAAAACAATCCTTATGAATCTTTTTTTATCCGTTTTGTAGCCTACAATATTGTCGATATTGTCATTACAATCCACTGTAATAGAGACAAGTTGATGTAAATCATGGAAATTCTCGAACTTATGAAATAAGTTGCAGTTCTCTTGCAAAGAACTAACAGCTCTTAGTGTGGGCGTGCTTTATTTATGAGCTGTTTGAATTATAATTTACGTGCTTTTGAGTAATAAATCGCGTAACCGACATTTCATTACCGTAAAGTTCAGCACTAAATTCATCTCATATCATTATGAAGTATTTCAAAAAACGCGACGTTTTAATTACCATTAAAGGCATCAAGAAGGCAAATTGTTAAAATATTTAAGCTATTTCTGAACTTTAAGTTGAGAAAGAAGTTAGTTAAATTTTAAAATATTATAAAAATATTATTATTACGCGTATAAAAATCTATTAAATGATGGGTGAAGTCTTTTAGAATCAAGCATGGTAAAACGTATTCGATCGGAGCATTGCTTAACAACTGTGAATATAAAACACAATTACACAACAAATTGCTATGAAAACCGAACACGCTCCAAGAGCCATCGAGCTATTAATAGGCCACCGTGAACGGGAAGCTTATACGATGATAGGGTTAGTAGTTCAATCAACTTCAAGTATCATTATTCTACTCGATAAACATCATGTTAATTTATCGTCATTTTTTTAATAATTTGTTATTTTATACATTTATTGATGCTGGGTTTTGTCGATGACTCTTCAGAATTAAGTGAAGAATTCGAATATGTACTTAAATACTAATGTATACATAACATTCCAAAGAGTTACTGAGAGAACTTTGCACACTTTGTTTTACAAAAAATATTTCGCCTTCCCCTTTTATTTTCAAATGAACACATTATCTTATATCTATCTTCAGTAGGCTCGTGTGCTATGCATTGTCTGCCAGCACTCGGTTCACTGAACTGTTTGTCACGTATAGGTTTTTCTGAGCACGTGCACTTAGTGCAGACTTATAGATCAATTAACATAAAAAATCTAATACTCAAAAATGAAAAAAAAATAAAATAAAAAAATAGGTATAGTAAGTTCTAGTCTCCCTATAACATTACATAACCACCATACAAGTTGGACGCAAAGCCAAGATTATAATCGCTACTTTATATAACGTAAAGTCAGTAGCCCTGTTAGCGACTGAGTACCAAGCAGTTGTTAGGCTCAATGTGGGTCACTGACGATGCAAAGGCTGCAGTAGGCGATGAAGTGAAATGTAGAGGGCGAGATAAGAGCAGGCTATAATAGTCCATGTCGCTGTATTGATTTGGATCAACTCGATGAAGTTTTCTAGGCAACACGTTCAACTAAAGCAAGTTATAAAATAGGTAAGTATACCCCTATTATCTTTATAATTTATCTATTGTCTGTATAATGTTATATAAACTAAATTGGTAGGTACTTGTAAAAGTTTACAATTTAAGGTATATTTAGCATGTATATACTGAAATGAAATTATAAATTATTTTGGAAATGTAATCTATTCACAAAAAACTTACGTTACAACTTACTAAAAGTGCTTGGAGGGTCAGTTTTTTAAATAACGGAAGTTTAAAATGTTTATATCATGAGTAAGCAAAAGCACGTGTTTATACATGTATTATATACTTAACTCGATTTTGATAGTATTAAATATTATGCTAGACTTATAGAACACTAGCATTGCCCGCGGCTCCGCCCGCGTTCAGATGACCAAAGACCAAATTCTTAGGTTTTACATATTAGTATACTCTTACAATGCAGTTTTTGTATTTTTTCTCAGAAATGAGATATTTTCCCGCGGTAAAAAGTATCCTATATGTTGACCCGGATAACCAGCTATCATCATTTTAAAATTTCATCAAAATCCCTCTAGTGGTTTGTCCGTGATGCGGTAACAGACAGACAGACAGACAGACAGACAGACAAAAATTCTAAAACTATAGATTCGGCCTCTGTATCGATGATAATGTCTATTTCAATAAGATTTTCCAAAAAATATCTAGTGTACAGATTCGGTTTAGTTACAATTTTATTATGTGTATAGATGTAATAACATCCGCATTGCTAATAAGCTGAGCCGTGCAGATTGATCTGATGGGGGTTAATCTAATTTAAATAATTCAATAAATGTTATTTTTACGATCAATATGCTGTCGATTGTGATATTATGTGTCATGTAACTGACTCTATTATGCATTTGTCTATATATATTTTTGTGTGACAAAGCATCTCGCATCTCTGATATTTTCATTTGCGAATCACTTCCAACATGATTACCACTTGTCGTACAGTGAAAAAAAATATCATATCCTAGTAAGTTTCCAAAGGCATGTGAAGTTTCCCAACCCGCACTTCGCGAGATTGATGGACTATGGACTAATCCATGAACATGACATGAAGGAAAGCCCGTGGCCAACAGTAGGACGTCAAAAAAGCGCTAAATACATAAATACAAGGTGAAAAACGCAGTGCCTCCACATTATACGGCTAAAGGAAACACATCGTTTTCCTGTCTAAATCGTCGTACCTAAATAAAAAATATATATAATGACGCTCTCTGAAAGTTTTGTTACCGAAAGCGTTTAAAGCATTCCCCACGAATTTCACATGTGATGGTAAAATCTAACTGCGCGTCTTCTAATGGCTTACACCTTTACCTATGCGTATGTAAATTCTAAAGGACACGACCAGACAACTCTGACGGAGGAAGCTCGAGCCACCTTGCATACTAATTTATTACAATACTGGTACTAACCGAACAAGTTAAAGTGTAATGTGAGTGCATAACGATTTAGTATTGTTACGACCTTTTGTATTGGCTGGGTTAATATGATCAATATTCTTGGGACCATACCTGCCTATGAGGCGAATAAAAATGACGAGCCTATTGTCAAGCCGTCCTCGCCAAAACTATGGATGTGTGCAGCCTTTGTACACCGAACCAAATTAGCTTTGATTATCTATTCTAGGCTACATGTGATTAAAGATTCTTACCCCTTTGTGGGTCGAAAATGAGTTAACGAAGCGGTAAAATGGAAAATTTAAAAGGGTGTAATTTAATTTTCCTGGCCTTCTATCGCAATTAAAAATACAGAGGCTGTGATAGGAAGCTGAAAATGGGGAAATAATTCATGTAAGGTGTTTCACACGGATGTGGCAAACCAGATGGAAAATAAAAATAACATTACAAATAGGTATATGGTTCTGGTACTACAAACATACATGTGAACATGATAATCATGTCAAGGTTTTATGCCATGGTCTTAATTCTCGGTTTAAACGGTTAAAAGAAGCCATAGTAAAAGGAGGAGTCCATCTGTTTGTCTTATAAGAAACAGCTCTACCCAATAAGTCGGATTAACTGTGACCACATGATATGCGATATAGGATTACGTTCATGAACTAAAAAAGCTTTTCGATTCTTAATAATATGCGCGACTCATATAAATTACATTTTCTTCGTCTATTTACGTTAGAAATACAATATATAGGAGTGTTTGCTTGAGTTCCATAAATCAAAGATCAATTTTACAGCCCCATGACACAGTTAAACATCCTATACAATTTGTTTACTTTTTCTGGCTTCACGGTCGTAAAAAAACGGGTTTCAAGTACCTACCTGCGTAGTGACAAGTATTGAATAAGAAATAGGGAGTTTCTTCACTCATTCTTCTATGAATTGTGGCGCCACAAGTTTATTGCCTGTTTATTTATATCTTTAACTGTAGTATTTAAAAAAAATATTTTTAATTGCGGCTGTGGTTATATGAACTTCAATAGAATTTAGTATCGCTCTAGTAAGAAAATCAATTAAAGTATACCTATCTAGTAGTTACGAATTCTCTCATATCAGTATATTAATATTTATTTCGGTAGGTATTTATTAATCTAACTAAACACAACAAATACTATATGCAAAATTAGAAAAGATGGCATGATCGTCCCCTACATCCGGAGTCGCAACGCTCGAGCGAACACAGGTATGCACCTGTCGCTGTTATTGTATTTTCTATAGAAAAGTTGTGGAACTAACCATGAATAAAGCTGAACAAAGTTTATGGACTGCATATAATTATGTCCGATACCAAAGTTTAGAAACGTTTTAATGAATAGTGTATTTAAAAATTACGACATAAGTTTCCATAAATTCATTTACACATCATAAATTTTAGAGGATCCAAGATTATATTTAAAGTTAATTAACCCTTAGACAACATCCTGTATTCTTTAAATTTTCTCCGCGTAAAATGTTAATTTTAGAACCCTTGAAATTTGCACCCTCAGCGGGCGCGTTCTACTATAAAGTTGCATGTCTTCACTTTTAAAGTGCTACTGAACATTTTTTATAAACTATAGCTACTGTTTATGGCTTTACCCGATATTATGATTTTTTTTATATTTTGTAGGTATGTCACCTTTATTTGGGTATGCTCAGAACATGGAGCTCAATCAATATTTTAGACTTCCTTGATATATGCTTAAAATCTAAGTTGAACTTAGAGTGAGACATAAATATAAAATACCTACTTCGAAAGCGAAAACTAAACGGTTTCGAATGACAAGTTTCTCTTTTAATGTGAATTGGCATTTTGACCGGTTACGATGTTACGTCTTCTTGTAGAATTGGAAATCTTACCGATTGTGTAGAATTTCATTAATATTTTAAACTCATTTAACGTCTCTAATTAGATTTTTGTTTATCTATACATATAATAAAATTGTAACTAAGCCGAATCTGTACATTAAATATTTTTTGGAAAATCTTATTGAAATTCGCTTAAAATGAAATGTTTAATTATAAAGATTCTAGTAGAACTTATTGATCGTAAATAATAATTATATACATTAAATAAAGCAAAATTTCATTTTAATTAGTCATATAAATTAAACGCTATAGCTTTTGATTTACTCAATTTTGATCTCAAGCTTGAGATTCCCCATTCTGGGTTTTTCTAAACACAGGTTAGGTTTGGTTGAGTCAAATCCAACCTAAACGCTGTTTTGGAGAACGTAGGTAAGCCAAGTAAACCCCCAAACAGGCGGAGCTGAAGGAAGCTGCTAATATAATACGTAAAACAAAAACTAACGCAGACTTATACTAAAAAAATGTAGTAAGTACAACAGTTATAAAATCGCATGCGTGAGAAAATAAATAAATATCGGATCTTCTAGTTTATATAAATCACGCTATCAGTGCGTTTAACTAAGAGAACCATTACTTTCACCTAACTTCACGCTAAATTCAATTCAAGTGTAATATGTATTTTATGTATGAAGGCACGAACGAAAAAAAAAACTTATTCCAATTACATCCCTTTTCTGTCAACAAGAATTCCGTTATTTTTCTTCCATTACACTATCTCACAAGAATTGTTTTTTTTTCTCCGCCAGGCATAAGTAAACAAACAGGCAGACAGACAAAAATATATATGCTGGAGTTCCGGTATTGGGCTAATATGTACAATTTCAAGACAATTACAGATAATTTTAATCTATAGTCTATACTAATATTATAAAGAGGTAAAGTTTGTGATATTGTGAGTTTGTGACGTTGTAGGGGGTAATCTCTGGATCTACTGAACCGATTTAGATGAAATTTGGCAACAAGATAGTTTGAGACCCTGAGACTTTTTATCCCGGAAATCATCCCTTAAGAGGGTGAAACTCGGGATGAAAGTTTGTATGGGGAATCAAGGTAGGGACGAACCCGAGCGAAACGAGGGTGAGTCGTTAGTTACTAATAACTTGCCATAAGGCAGCGTAAGCATAGATGTAGTAAAGAAAATAAGTTACATGTCATTTAATAAGTCTTGTTTTAGTACATGATATGATATATGATAATAATTAGTTAGTTGTATTTATTGTTATAGGTATATTTCCTATACAATAGACAAATGAATAGTAGTGATAATATAATCACTAACGAACGCATCCGTGAAAAATGGTTACTTTCTTTCGAAAAGGCTATATTATTAATATAAAGAAGCAGTATCTAATCATCGATACCAAAAAAAAAATGCACGTCCATAATATGGCGACAGGTAGATAATTTTCTCAAGTGAATGTCTGTCGTATCAATGACACCAATTGAAATCGTTTATGTCATCTTGGATCATTAAATATTTTATTGTAGATTCAGTAGGTACCTACTCATTCACACAAAAAAAAGATCGTAAACGTTCGTAAGTTAAAACAATTATAAGATATATTTTAAAGATCTTCTCAACCCTCACCTTATTATTTTTAATTCGTAGTTCTGTTTTGTTCGCAACAAAACAGAACTAAAAATCTATACATATAATAAAACTCTAACTGAGTCGAATCTGTACATTACTTAAATATTTTTAGGAAAATCTTATTGAAATAGTCATTATAATCGATACAGAGGCCGAATCTATAGTTATTAGATTTTTTTCTGCCTGTCTGTCTGTATGTTACCGCATCACGAGAAAACCACTGGACAGATTTCGATGAAATTTGGTATGATGATAGCTGGTTATCCGGGTCAACATATAGGATACTTTTTACTACGGAAAAATATTTCATCTCTGAGAAATCTATACTAAACGTTAAAACTAGGGACGGACCCGAGGGGAGCGAGGGTGAGCAGGCTAGTTAAAAATAATATTTGTCATTTCACAGACCATAACTGTAAACAGTTTAGAAGTAAGAAAAATATGCCACTTGTAACGGTTGTGAGATATGACCAAACTAAGACAAGTATTGTTTTAACGTTCGAGATGACGTGCCGTGAGTGCAGCCGTTTGATTTATTAACTGCCAACAGTGAGTAGAAATAGATTTGAAACACGCTGCACTTATTAACGAGTCTGTTTTAATTCATTAGTTCCACTTCAGTGTGTCGGTTAGCTTATTAATTTGTAGAGTGTGATAATTCACCTGATAATATAAAGTGATTCTTCATAAGAATGTGTATATTATGGTATTTTAGTACCTAGACATCGTATTTATCTCAGATTCTGTGAAAATTACCACTTTGATATTTAGAGAAATGATGACTTCGGACTTCTATCTTAAATTGCCGAAAACACGTTGGCGAAAATTTTTTCGATAATTTTTTCTTTAAATCCATGTTATGCGCACATATTGCTATTATCTCAGACATCGATTTTCATTATTCGATTGGTTGTTTAATTACTTTATAGTGAATTAATAAATGTTTTGGCGCTTACGTCGTTATAGAATACGTTTAGAATCTATCACTCTATACTTCGCACTCACGATAGAACATTATCTTGTCATCCCGCTCCTAGAAATCCGAATCGGAGTGGTCTCATGGCGTATTCTTAAAAGAAAATTCATTTTGAAGTTATTGCTGTGAAGTTTTCTTATTTCATTAGAACCTGCCTGCATTTTTTTATAAAGCTGTATAAATATTCGTTTAAAATCTTTTCGTATTTACGGCGTAAGAGCTACCGCCATGCATTCCCCCTTGAAAAGGTTAAAAGTGCAGAATTATATACTATACATAATATCATTATCAGCGAAGCAAAGATTTGTGCAGATGCATTTAAATTACAGTTGCTAAGCTTTATAAGTCATAAAACACAACGATACATTTACTACATCTATACATATAATAAAATTGTAACTAAGCCGAATCTGTACATTAAATATTTTTTGGAAAATCTTATTGAAATAGTATTATCGATACAGAGGTCGAATCTATAGTTTTTAGAATTTTTGTCTGTCTATCTGTCTTTTACCGCATCACGGCAAAACCACTGGAGGGATTTTGATGAAATTTGGTATGGTGATAGCTGATTATCCGGGTCAAAATATAGAACTTTTTACCGAGGAAAAACATCTCATTTCTGAGAAAAAATACAAAAACTGCAATGTAAGAGTATACTAATATGTAAAACCTAAGAATTTCGTTTTTGATCATCTGAACGCGGGCGGAGCCGCGGGCAATGCTAGTTTAGTTATATGGCAAAGCAACTTTTGCAATTAACTTTCAATAGGTTTTCATTAACATTATGTGCTTTATGTGTGTACATATCTTTAATTTTCTCAAAATTAATGTGATAGTTTCAGTGACCTTTCAAAATTCTTTAGAACAAGTACTTTTAAAATTTAATTTAAAGTATTAAACATACCAATCTGAATTTAAATTTGCTAAAATATTGAAAGGCCCCATAATTTTTAAGTTAACATTTAGTCATATGAAAGCTTCACGTTTTTGAAGTAATATTTACTTGTCTCTATTTTGCACAGGTTCTGTTGCAAAAGGCAAAAATGGCTGAGGCTTTGTGGTTATTCATGATCAAGAGGCAAAAAATGTTCTCAAAGAAAAACATTTTCAAATATTCTACAACGCTTATACATTTCCATTTTCTCTGCATACATTTTCTAAAGTGTTTCGAGGAACATTACACACATCTGGTGAAACCATTTTTGAAATTATAATTTTATAGTTAGACTATACAAAGAAATATGCCTTTTATAGTTAAATAATAGTGTATTTTCCTTTTTAAAAATTTATCTTGACTTTTTTGGTAAATTATAATTATGATTTGGAGTGTTTATGTAAGAAATCCTATAAGTCTTTAGCAGGTTTTTACTTTGTTAGCTTAGTGAAATTAGTCATGACAATAGAAATGTAAGTAAAAGGCCTAAGTAAAAATTAAAACTCAAAACAATAACGAATGATGTTTCTTTATTGAAATATGTACATTGTATTATATTGTATATTAATTGAGATAATAGGCGCATGGGGAACTGAATTTGAATGGCATGGACTGAAACAATGTCTGTTTCAACTGTTTTATGATAATAATTAAAACTTAATAGTTAAGAAAGAAATTAGTTTTTAAGTTAATACTTAAAGTACCATTACAATATTTGAATAATGGACAAAAAGTCAAAAACCTGAATAGTATTCACAAATGGGCAATATTAACCATCAATCCATTAGCTATGTCACGGCACTCCCAAATTAATTAGGTTACAGTTCACACAGGCAACACCTAGTTTATTATGATTCAATAAACACTCCTACAGGATGTTTAGCTCTAGAACTTTCAAATGTATTACACTACAGAATATGATATGGCTATTAATTATTATCCATACATATAATAAAATTGTAACTAAGCCGAATCTTATTGAAATAGACATTATTATCGATACAGAAGCCGAATCTATACTTTTTAGAATTTTGGTACTTCTCTGATAGCAGAGTGTACCATTGGAGCAACCCCATGGCTGTTGTGGTTTGCTTCGGCAGACCTGCCGTAGAGGCGTTATGGTCGAGTGCGTAAGCGAACCTACGACGCGACGCGACGTCCCATTAAGAAGGGGGAGGTTCTGATGGATTTTAGTGGGTAGTAATGGCTTTTCTAGCCAGTGAGTCCCACATAACCATCTATTGTATACAGGTGGTATGCGTAAATACATTTTATTACATTAAAAAAGAAAGATGTAATTATGTTGGAGGATTTATTTATGTTGATTATTTCCAAGAGGACTTATGTTTTTCAAATAACAAAATATTGTGAATTATTACTTAGGATATTAGTAATAATTATACTTATTGAATTTCATTCCCAATACATTAAGTGCTATGCTAATTCTAGCTTTGTATTCAGATACCTACTCTAATTTAATGTATTGGTATATTATGTATATACAATAAATTTGTGTTATAACTGCTATGAAAATATAAATTCATTATTATTTCTTTAGAAATTAGAAGTATATACATACTATGTGTACCTATTGGTCAAGATTAATTATTATTAGTGAGAAGCATATTACGTAAACCCTAAAATTACCTTAAAAAGTTGATGATTTATTAAATATTTTCTGTCTTTATAATAACATCTAATTAATATCGTATCTATAACTCAGGCCATAAGTACCCATATGCAGAGACAGCATTTTAATTTTGTATCTATCCTTTTTCATTCCAATAAGATAAAAAGAAATATAATACGCATGACTTTCATATACTTGTGTAGTTCTATGTAATATGTTCCCTTTGATTCCTCCCTGTAGGGTGCGCTAAAAGCCTCTTTCAGATCCGTTTTTTTTAATAAGGGGAATACTTCAGGCAGATAATTTCCACTTCGTGTGTACAACTTTATGCAAGAAATTGGGCAAATTCAAAATCAAATTAGAAGTCTACCCTCAAAATAATCATTTGTTTACCGATTTGAGAACGAAGATATAACAATAAATTTTTTATGTAAAAAATTAATTCAATTGAGTACTCTGTGTAGTATAAATTAGTGTATTCTACGATAGTATAAGATGATTCATAAACAGGAAAGTTTTTGTGAACTTATCGGCTCCGATCGATCTCATGACCACGCCGGACAATCGAGACGCCAGACGAAATGCCGGTAAATAAACAAAAATAAAACATTTTAGTATTTTGGCACACTGACGTGATGACATAAAATAAATCTAAAATAAAATAATAAATATGTATCGCATACAAATGCACCGCAGTTTATTTATAAATCCCGACTTACCAGCAACAACTGTATCACTCAAGTCATATTTCACTGGTTTTGGAAACTCTCTCAGCTTTCGTCCGCTTAATTTTAATTCACCACTTAAATAAGCATCTTCTAAAATTCTCTCTAAAGATTTAGTTAACTGGCTATGAATATTACTATGACCATTCATATTTACACTCACACTCGGCCCTAACACGGCCATATTCTTTTTAAACTGAAACTAAACTGACAAATTACGGCTATGAAGTTGCTGATACTTTAACAACAGCAAGTACCAACAAAAAAAGTTGTGGCTAATTTCATGACAGATCTATCTTAAATTTTTGTCTATGAATAAAAAAATTATAATAATCTAGTATTGATTTATTGTATTCTAACTATTAAAATTAAACGGCGATTTATATAGACTATTGAGGAAAATACTTCGCCTTCAATTTGCTTAAGCCTTTTAAAGTATGATTTTCCGTAAATAACTTCTAAAGTATTAGCGATACTTGAATCGTGCTATTAATATTGTTACACAATTGAAATTTAAAGAAGTTTGGTCTCAATTAATAGCTTTCGATAATCGAAAGAATTTAAGAAAATTTTCAATAATTATTTTACACTATTTATTATCTGTTCTATAGTTGCTTTGCACTTTGCAGTTTGCACTACTGTTGAGACTTGAGAATGAGTATGTCCATAGACACTTTTAGCGCAATGGTTTTGACATTTAAATAACCTATTATTTTAAGGATTCTAGATGTATTTTGTGTTTTATGTAATAAAATAATTAATTTAGAATATAACCATGACTCTTTTAAATTGGTATCGAATAGCAACAATATCAAGGTTAGCTAAGAAATCATGCAATATACAAGTCGAAGTAAGTAAAAATTAATATTGTTTTTTTTTATTTATCATGTATTTTACGTAATTTAATTATTATGATCATTGTAATTTGTAAAAAAATCTCATTTTTGTATCAATTGCGATCAATATTTATGCATAATAAGTATTGCGTTATGATTTACGAACCAGAACTTAAAAACCATGGTATGTTTTAGAATTTTTCGTCGCATGTGAAATTTGCGGAACATAAGCAATTGGAGAAAATAAGAAATATTGGTATATCTGCTCACATTGACTCTGGAAAGACCACACTTACAGAGAGAGTATTATTTTACACAGGCAGAATAGATTCTATGCATGAGGTTAGTCTAATTTAAATATGTATTTATAAATTGAAATAAAGTATAAAATGTATTAAAAAAATGGGTTTTATTGTATTGTATACTAGTGACTTACCCTCTCTTCGATCGGGTGCGTCCCTAGGTATGGTTTAATTTTTTGTGCGGAACCCTTTTTTTATCTAAAATAAAGGGTACCTGCTGCGAGTTTCGGAAAAATCGATCAAGCCATTTCGGAAATTAGCTGGAACAGACAGACCGACAAACATTTTAAAAATAGATTTTTTTTCTATTAGTATTAGTTATAAGAATATACTAAATGTTCATAAGCATTTAGTAAAAATCTGTTATTTTAACATTACAGATACTTCAATTGTATTTATCTGTATAGATTAAATTAATTATAATTATTATACATTATTAAAGCTTTTATTTAAATAAATTTTTAGTTTCATGTTTTCATAAGTCTTTTATATAATAGGTAAGAGGTAAGGATAATGTAGGCGCAGTGATGGACTCAATGGAATTAGAACGACAAAGAGGTATTACTATACAATCTGCTGCCACATACACAATTTGGAAGGATCATAATATAAACATAATTGATACACCAGGACATGTTGACTTTACTGTAGAGGTAGAAAGAGCTTTGAGAGTTCTAGATGGAGCTGTTTTAGTACTTTGTGCAGTAGGAGGCGTACAAAGTCAAACATTAACAGTAAATAGGCAAATGAAACGCTATAATGTACCTTGCTTGGCTTTTATTAATAAATTGGATAGATTATCTGCAAACCCAGAAAGGTATGTCTTCAATAACTATTATTCTTTTTTTATTAGGAATGGGCTTACACTTGACCTACATCTTAGCTCGAAGGTATAGATAAGGTCTACAATGTAGCGAGTTGGCCCAAGAGAAGACTGTTAACATGCACCTTAAAGAGTTTAGTTATAGTCTTTTAAATAATTAGGCTATTATAAATAATTAGCCTTTTAAAATTATTAGGAATAAAATCATTAACCTCATTGTTTTATTGCATGATATGAAAAATGTTAAAATAATAAGTGTCATTGATATGTGATTAATTAGGCAAATTAAGCCTTAATTAAATTATCAAATTGATACATTTTGGAGTTTGTTAATTTTTTACCCTTGTTGTATTTATTAGTGTTGTATACAATCTTAAAATTTTTATTATCTCACTTATATGAGTCTAAAATAGAACTTACAGTATTATATAATACTAGATATAAAATTTGTTGATTTGTTTGTATGTAAAAGGTATATGTCTTAAATCTTTAAATAGAAAGCTATCCTGTATTTAAATAACAAACTTTATTTTTTATTGTTCCACCACCCTGTGACTTGGAGCAAAAATGATAAAATTATGAGTTCTGTATATATTTTTTATATTTTAAACCCCTGACATAAAAGATGGGAGTTATAAGTTTAACATGCGTTTTTGTTTAATTAATATTAATGTTTTATGTGTTACAGAGTATTAAAACAATTGCGTTCCAAAATGAATCACAATGCTGCATTTCTTCATTTACCCATAGGCTTAGAAAAAGAATGCCAAGGTATTCTAGATCTGATTGATGAGAAAGCTATGTATTTTGATGGTAATTACGGTGAAATTGTAAGACTAGATGAGATCCCTCAAGACAGACGAACTGAGGTTAAAGAAAGGAGGCATGAACTTATTGAACACCTGTCTAATGTTGATGAAACTTTAGGTAAGATTGATAGTATTGATACCTTAATTTTAATAATTTGATTTTTAATAATTATTCACTTTGTTTTTTACATTTTTTTCCATACTTACTTTGATTTTATTTTGAAAAGAATAATTCAGACAAGGTTTTTAGGATATATTAAATGTCTTAAAGGCCTATGCTCACGACATGCTATCCCCGCGTGTAAGACACATGAAAGCAAGTAATAGAACATATGAAAGCAAGTAATCGGAATTTTTAAAGTTTATCAGCATTGGCAGCGCTGGATTTAAACTAGGGGCACTCGGGGCTAGTGCCCAGGGCGGCAAAATTTTAGGGGCGGCAAAATTCGGAAGGCGGGGGAAAAAAAACTCTTCGCGTTATCGAAAACGCTTTCTTTATTTTTCAAAGAATTATTAATTTAAAAAAATTAACTAATAGTACAATTCACGAAAATTTTAAATTATATATAAATATATTTTTTTTCATTTTTCAAAAATTTAATAATTATAAAAAAAATAACTTTATCAAAACTTTAATCATTTAATGCAAAATTTCGATAATAGGGCAGCAATTTTTACTATTGCCAGGGGCAGCGCTAAGGTTGAATCTGAGCATTAGAATACGCGAATAGTCATTACTTTTACATCTTAAAGATATTTTATCGACTTTATAGAATAGTTTAAAAATTACTAACATGTCTTTTGCTATCAAGTTTACATTTTGACTGCTAATAAACCATAATCATTAAATTCAAATGAAGGAATTGATCAAATTGAATTAAATTTCAGGTGAATTATTCTTAGAAGAAAGAACACCAACAGTAGAGGAACTCAAGAAGGCTATACGACGAGCGACTCTTAAACGAACATTTACCCCAGTTTTATTGGGGACAGCGTTAAAAAATAAAGGAGTCCAGCCGTTACTAGATGCTGTATTAGATTATTTACCTCATCCTGGTGAAGTGGAAAATACGGCTTTAATAAATGAGAAGAAAGGCGGTGAAGGCGAAACTATCGTTTTAGATCCTTCTAGAAATGGATCTAAACCATTTGTTGGTTTAGCGTTCAAGTTAGAATTAAGCAAATTCGGTCAACTCACATACCTAAGATGTTATCAAGGGATGCTGAAGAGGGGTGATAACATTTTTAATGCTAGAACTAATAAAAAGGTATGTGTATTTTTAGAATTTTACGAGTATTTTATTGCAATATGACTAATTCATAAATTGTACATATAATTTATACTTATTATTAAATCATAAATTATATATCTTAATACTTCAAATTTCCGGATTGTTATATCTATACACATAAATATTCTCAAGAAATACTCAATTGACTATGTCTTTATGACATATTAAATCCACATATTCATCTTTCAGTACTTGATATTGTAAATTAAATATATTAATGTTCATCTGGTGCAAGAATCGAACTCGCGAATTTCACCATTCGTAGTAGAGAGGAACCACTATATTACTGCTATTATTAGCGGCTTTATTTATACGCTTTGCACATTTTTTAAACTATTTAATTAGGTTCAAAATAATGAATATGAATTAATGAATAATATGTGCCATATATTCTGTTTTTCCTCATATAGAGTAAAACAATAAATAAAACTACAATAATAACTAGGCGTTACCCACCTGCTTTGCTGGCCTTAATGTATATTTGGTTGTTTTGCTTATAAATTAAATATGTAGGTAAAATAAAAAGAATAAATGAATGAAAAAATGTTAACATCTTTTGTTTTTATTGGCGGAAAAAATATTAATAAAAGTAAATAAAAAAAATGTGAATGAATGGAATTCAAAAAATAAATAGCCGAAATATAAATCGCAAAGTTCTAAACCGATAGTAACATTATTATAATATCATTTAATGAATAAATACAATTTCCAGGTGAAAATCTCACGGCTAGTACGAATGCACTCAAACAATATGGAGGAAGTTAACGAAGTGCTCGCAGGGGATATTTTCGCGCTATTCGGAGTAGATTGTGCTTCAGGAGATACATTTGTCAACGATGGAAAACTTCAGTTGTCAATGGAATCAATACATGTCCCGGACCCAGTCGTTTCTATGTCCATCAAACCGAAGAATAATAAGGATAGAGATAACTTCTCTAAAGCTGTGGCTAGGTATGGAATGGTGGTTTGATATTTTTAATTTGAATAAACAATTTAGAATAATATAACTAATAATACTTTCTTAGATATATGCGAATATTTGATATCCATACTAATATTATAAATGTGAAAGTTTGTGAGTATGGATGTTTGTTACTCTTTCACGCAAAAAGTACTGAATAGATTTTAATGAAACTTAACAATAATGTAGCTCATACTTCAGAATAAAACATAGGCTACTTTTTAACCCGGAAAAATGTACGGTTCTCGTGGCTTACATTGTGTGATAGTTAAAAAACTATAGTAACTTATACAGCTTAGTACACAAAAACTACTAATTGGATTTTAATGAAACTTTACAGTAATATTGTTCATATATCAAAATAAAAAAGAGGCTAATTTTTATTCCGGAAAAATGTATGTTACCCGTGGGATAGATTTTTTTTGTTTGTCTAGAGGTGAACCCGAGCGAAGCTAGTGTGAGCCGCTAGTATTACATAATATTAAATATAGATTTCTCATGACACAGGTTCACAAAAGAAGACCCAACATTCCACTTCCGATACGACAGCGATAACAAAGAGACAGTTGTCTCTGGCATGGGAGAGTTACATCTAGAGATATATGCACAGAGAATGGAGAGAGAGTACAATTGTCCTGTTGAAATGGGAAAACCTAAGGTCGCGTTCAGGTGATTAGTAAATATTTTTTTTGTGAATATACATTATACATGTGCTGTGCATTAATGCCCCTACATATTTATTTATTTATTAGTATAATATTTTATGTATTTATCATAAAATTAGGGAGACAATGATGTCGCCATGCTCCTTCGACTATCTCCACAAGAAGCAGTCCGGCGGCGCGGGGCAGTTCGCGCGCGTGACCGGCGTCATGGAACCATTGCCGCCTCAACAAAATACAGGTTATATACCATTTATTAATTATATTGTCTCCGTCTGTTTAATGCCTATTTTTGAAATTTGAATATGAAAAAAAATTGAGAAAGTTTTAATTTAGAAAATATTACAGGTACAAAATAACGAATATTTCGCATTGCAACATCAAAATTTGGATTTCTTTCGATTGGAAAAAGAAAAAATATATATTGAAAACCTGAAGTAAAAATTAAAAAATTAATTACATTGAAATGTTTTACCATTTCCGAGAAAAGTATGTTTTATGGCCTCGATAGGCTGAAAATCACCCCCAACTACAAGTGGGCGTTTACATAGAAAAAATTTTTTGTTCAATTTTCAGATAGGGCTTATTTTTTTCGTTTTGAACTCTACCTTTTGAAAATATAAAAACATTGTGTGGTCGTCTTGTAAAAACATCCTTAAAAATTTTAAAAATTGGAGAAGTCTATAATTTTTACTTTGTAAACTACATTTTTTTCAATTATCATTGAAGATGTGAACTTTATTAATCAATTTTTTATAAATTGATTACACTAATGTATTTTTCAGGAAAAAACGATGAAAAGGGTGTCCTTAAACTTTTAATTTGACGCTTATATTTATACAATGTTGCCGTAAACATTCTAACTTTTCAATTTGATGAGGCGTGAAAAAATAATAAAAGTTGGAATTCATGTCAAATACATCAGTGATTTTGTATTTTTTTGACGTAGAATCTATTTATGTTATAATTTTTTCGAATTTATCGATATTATATTAGTTTTTGATCGACTTTGGAGTTAAATTTATTAATTTTTAGAAAAAATTGATTTTAAGGTAATTACAGAAAGAAATGAAATTCATTCGTAGTCTGATCTTGTTTATTTATTAGTTAAAAATATATTTAAAAAAATTAAGTTAATATGTGACATCGAAAGTGTAACAAAACTATCTGACTAGACACAAAAATATATATAAGGTCATATATTTTTGCTCGTGACTGTACTCGACTCTTCTTTGTCGAATTTTCATCTATAATTCTGTAATAATAATATTTGAAACGACTTTGAAGTTTGTGTTAATTTTTGAATTACAAATTATTTAATTAATATCCTGTAATACTTTATGTGTAATATTTAACATTTTATTAAAACTATATTTTCGGATATTTTCCCGGATTTATTTTGATTTTTGGTTCCCGATGTTTCAAATGCTTTACATCGATCATGGTCACGGGAGAGACTAAGGTTTTAGACGTCTCAAAGGCATGTAGTTGTTACAGACATATTCTTTTAAAGTAATTATAATATCTAATAATCAATTTCTTCTTACAGTTTTGGAATTCGTAGACGAAACAATAGGTACAAATGTTCCCAAACAATTTGTGCCGGGTGTAGAGCGAGGTTTCATCGACACGTGTCAGAAAGGTTATCTGTCCGGTCACAAAATATCCGGAGTCAAGTTCCGGCTGCAAGATGGCGCGCATCACATTGTGGATTCCAGCGAATTGGCTTTCTTCTTAGCGGCTAAGGGAGCGGTTAAAGAAGGTAATTCCGTTACTTATTAAGAAATAAGTGGCACAGATGACTCAATTTATTTATTTATAGTAGGAATTATATATTTTATTTAATTATTAAATTAAACTCATTCTCTTACTCCTTATTTTTCCCCAAAAGGCCCTTACATAGCGAAGGTGAACAGCCAAAGATTTTGAGTCCATCCATCCCTAAATAGCTTAAATAGGAGTTGAAGTTTATCTAAAAAGTTCCGTCCGTTTAAAGATAAATCGTTTTTGATTATAGATTATTATTAATCTTTAAGTTTTTATTTATAAGATTATATTTTTTTCCAAAAAAAGAGTGTTTTTTCTTAAATTTATTAAAACATACATATATACATAATAACAATGTAAAGAGTATCCCAAAGTTCAAATAAGGTTAAACTAATACTTTAAAAACCCAAAATTCCATCCAACAGTATTCGAAGACGGTGCCTGGCAGATTCTAGAACCTATAATGTACGTAGAAGTTACAATGCCAGAGGAATTCCACGGTTCAGTTGTAGGACAGTTGAACAAACGAGGCGGTATCGTCACCGGCAACGAGGGCTCCGAAGGATGGACCACAGTACATGCAGAAGTACCCCTAAACAACATGTTCGGTTATGCCGGGGAATTGAGGTTGGTTGATCAATCTATCAATCGTTTGGTTTGTCAACCTTTCAACCGTTTGATTAATTCTTTAATTGATTTATTGTTTTATGTGAGTTCATTCAACGTTGTTTGAATCATCAGTTTTAAAAATAAAATTAAAGCAAGTTTAAGTCCAGGTATCATAGATCTAAGATTTTTATGTTGAAAGAAATTATCGCATGTTTTAGAAAATTTAATTAGTTTTGCCCAAGCCGAGTGTATGTATGTCCTATTTGTTAATTTTTTAAATTTTAGTTTGTAGTTAATATGAATATGGCAATAACTTCCAGATCAATGACACAAGGCAAGGGTGAGTTCAGTATGGAGTACAGCCGCTACTCGCCGTGCCTGCCCGACGTGCAGGAGCAGCTCATACGCAAGTACCAAGAGGAGATGGGCTTGCTGCCAGACCAGAAGAAGAAAAAGAACTAGCTTTAGTGTACACTAGATTATTGATTATACTTAATAAATGAATTTAATTTATAACTAATTTTATGGGTATTTTCTTTTTTTTCTTTCAAATTTCTGTTTCTAGTACAGAAATATACATTTATTATTTGTTAAGAGCTGTTGGTAAATGAACGTCGAACTTCAAAAGCCTATACAATAAACATGTCTCCCGTGACCATATTTGCTATAAGCGTGCTAAACCCAAAATCATTAATATACAGAAACTCAAAATACACAGTCACTGTCTCTAGTTTCCTTAAAAAAATCACACAAATTGAAATTGTGCGCTCTTTTCAAATAGCCATTAATTGCGTTAGCTACAGAGCGGATGTTCGAAACGTCAAAGTGTTTCTACCAAAAATGTATAAATATTTTAGTCTTAAAAAAGAATGGAATTATCATATTTTCGAATATCGAATATAAAATAATACATTTATATAATATACGAAAGCTAAAACTGTCCTAGTTTGTGCCTTTGGCATGTTCTAAGCACAATTTTTAGATATAAGGTAAATAAAGGTAATCTTAAAAGAAAAGAACTGAATGAAATAATATGAAAACAGTTTACAATTTAAAAGAAATAGATGTTAATGTAGATATTTGTAAGTAGTTTTGAGAATGAGTAAATAAAAGACTAATGTGTATAAAAAACCATTTATTCATAACACTCCACAAAGATCTCCAAAAACAATACAAATTCATGTAACAAACATATCCCGCCAGGTACAATAATAATTGTTTTGATTACATTACACTAAATATTTTAATAGACATCGACTACATCGCCTCTATATTCCACTAAATTAGGCATTTTTTATTATTTTTAAGTAAACACCATCAAAACTCGATTCTAACTTACTTATATTTTAATAATAGGACTTGAAATTAAATATTAAATAATCCATATACCATTATTATTATAATAGGAAAAAGTTAAAAAAAACTTTCTGTATCTGCTTATTTTTTTACAAACTTAAACTTAAATCAGTGTAACTCGATTTTGATGAAACTTATAGGGATTAGATAATTGTTTAGGGTAGAAACCTCCCTAGGTGGGTAAAAACCTAGGGTATCTTTAATTTAGCTCTAAATATTACATAAATAACGAATTCACATACATTATAGTTGCTCGTCAAATTCCCTCCTAATAACATAGAAAAATGAAATACATATAAATGACAGAACCTACAATATACATTAGTACCTAATATAAAATCGGGTGCCTTAAAAATACTTATTTAACCATAAAAGGACGAGTAGCCATTATGTATACACTTGGATAAGAGCAAAGTATACAGAATAAGTTTAGAAAGTTATAACTATGTATTTAACTAGATGAGTTAGTCTACTCATAAATAGGAAAAACCATATGAATTGATTAGTATATAGGTTTTACTTTCCTTTAAAATGTAGGTAGTTATTTTTGAACTACTTTTTTTTATGAGTAAAAAAAAATCTTTATTAAAAAAATTTAGCTTTAAAAGTGTGATTTTGACAGCATCAATTAGGCGTGCTGCATATCCCCCCCAACGTGCGTTCACCTTGTCGTGGTGGGGGGGCTCAGTAGTGCCCGGTAATCCAACCGGGCGCGAAGCTAAGAAACGCACAGGGAGGTTGCCCACTTCGTTGGGCGGTGGGAGGTGGCCCTCTTCGGGGGGCGGTGTACCTTGCGGGTTGCTCCTGGTACTTCTCTGGTAGCAGAGTGGACCTTGGAGCAACCCCATGGTTGTGATGGTCTGCTTCGGCAGACCTGCCGTCGGGGCGTCGTAGTTGAATGCGTAAGCGATCCTGCGATGCCCCATTAAGACGGGGGAAGGTTTTGTTGGGTTTTAGTGGGTAGTACTGGCTGTATTACGCCGGTGAGTCCCACACGTCGTGCGTAAATGCATTTCCCAACGTTAAAAAAAAAAAAAGGCGTGCTGCATATAATGTAATCAATAATCATCTTCGGCCAAGACACTTGTATAATTAAAAATCAAACAATACAAGATAAGTTCGTTAATTTTAAATTATGGAGGGAAGATTGGAAGTTATTTAAATTAAAATTATGACATGAATTTTTAACATCTTTTACGTATCGAAATTTTACGATTATTTGTACGGTTAATACTTTTGCTAGCTGAAAATTTATTTATGTAATATCACATTACAATGGTTTGTTTAGATCTTATCCCACTTACTTTTATCAGTAACGCTTCAATTTCATTCATATTGGCAGACTTGCTTTAATCGAAATTCTGTTATTTATGGGTTTTTAAAATCAAATAGTAACTCACTAAAAATATATAATAACAATATTTGTTGACTAGGTAAATATAATATTACATACATACGTGTCGAATTGATAACCTTCTTTTTTTAAGTCGGTTAATATAAATATAAAAAGAAATTCATAAATAGCTTAGTGAACCGATGTAACATTAAATACTGCCTTATGATTAATGGTGTTATACTATTGGCACTTGGTTGAGTACACTTACAAGGATTTTAAAACTAATCTTAAATATTTCTATCTTACCAATACCTAATGAGTAAACTGAGATTGTTCTTAATTTCATAAGAAGATGCCTCTCACTAATAAAAATATATAATAACAGTACGATAACCTTCAGTATTGATTTATTTTAAAAATATCTCAACGTAAATTGTGGTGGGTTATTTGTATACTGAACGATTTTTGTCTAGTCAGATACGCAGGAGATATTATAGTGCAAAAGTGTACGCGAAGATACAACATGCACTCTCTTTTACTTCTACCCTCAAAGTCCGATAGGACGATACTTTACAGCTTTACGTGCTCTCCGAGGCACGACGATAGAACACCGCCAATTTCCAAACTCCAGGCTGTTACTGAGAATTTTTTAACACAAAACTCAGTAAATGAACTTGGCCCGAACTGCTTACATGCTGCGTACATGCTTGCCAGTAGACCACCAACGTAGAAGGTTATTTGTATAGACTTATTTCGTCTAGTTGACGATTTTCATTTAGGGCAGATCCCAATAAGTAATAATTTATTATTTATCTATCCGAAGTTATCCCTACTAGAGATAAAAATTTGATAAACTCAGGACAAATATGATAGGTCATTAGGATTTGCCATTAGAAATTAATCAAAGATTAGTGAAACATTTTTGTTTAAACAAGAACAAGCGTTAAAGCCTATCAGTCATACTAAGAAAATGCATGGTTTGATTGCTTTGATTACTGCCATGCGTGGTCTCAATCAGATCGAGACTGATGTAAGGTCAACTTATCTCTAATAATAATGCTAGCATAGCATTTATGTCAATATGTCACCAAAAGGGATGTAAAAATTTTTGTTTTTAAGTAAATACTGACAGGTAATGGTAATTAAAATTACATAACGAAATATTGTGTCTTTAAATGCTAATATAAATGTAAATTTAAATAATTCCAGACAAAAAACACCCACCCGTTCGTAAGTTGAGCGAAATAGTGAAGAATCCAATAAATTAATGACCCGTGTTAGTAAGGACTTTATCCTTAAAAGTTGGTATATTCAATATTTTTTGGACTTTTTGACAAAAAAGTATCCTCATTCGAAATGCCTTAAATCAATCGGAATAACTGCTAAAATTACATTATTTCATATACATTTTATGAGCTTATTATTCTAGAAAGCTGGGACATTTTCCATTTACATACGATTTAAATACTGTTAATTCCTAAATAGGGACATTTAAATCTACTTTTGTGCCAATTTCTACCACAAAATAACACATTATCAATAATTATCATAACATTAATCACATTCCACATCAAAATTCATGAAGTTTTGCGCAAAACGCACCATTATTCATTAGAGCAAATACAATTCCTTGATATGGCAACAATATTTTCATATAGAAATTTCCTTGACATTTCCAAGAAATTTCGTTTAGAATATACTATTGTTATATGAATTATTCAATAATAATTTCACAGAAACGGTACGTAGAGCGCATTTTATTGACTTTTAACAGCTTGAATCTTAATGTATACGTAAAAAAAGAAAAGAAATATTGGCCTCCATTGGCTTAAATTGCAACTTTCAAAGACATTTATGTATTTTGTAGATCTAAAGCAGGTTTAGTTGGCTGGCAGATACAAGCTAAACTAACAGAAAAGTGTTTAAACTGAGGTCTCAGCAGATGTATTACACTTTTTAAGTCCGCTACTCCACGAGTCCTTGCGCCTTAGGAGATCGCTCTGAAAATCGCCCAAATCAAATAATAGTTTAAGCAGTAAGCTACAAGAAAAACTTAGTAAAATTTACATTAACTTAAATATAGCGTCTCCATAACACATAGCATATACATATTCAAATATTCACATTTTAATCTACATTTTATAATGGAACTGTTGAACATGCTTTATATTTAGTAGGACAGAATTAGCCTATATGATATTTAACACAGTCATGCAGGAGTTTTAAAAAAACCTAAATATTTTCGTAAGAACAAAATTATCAATTATATAATAACATAAAAAGCACATAAGGGTAGAAGGATTCCCTTAGACAAGTTGAATTTCTATGATGCATATCGTTAATAGAGAACTAAAAATATGTACATTACATTGATATTGAGCTAAGATATGCTATTTGCATATAATATCTATGTCTTCTATTTTCTATAGCGATTTTAGAATGTCATCTTGTCTGTTTGATAGACAAATGTACAAGATCATAAATGAATTAGCTATCTACAGTAATCTAAACGTAACTAAAATTAATATACTTATCGTAGTTTCCGAATTCACAACATTATTGTACATAGAGCTCAAAAATTTGATTAGGCGAAGTTAAGTAAAAAGTAACATAACAAATACGCGATTTCAAATATCGCCTAAAATATAGTTGGCTGAACACATTGTTTAATTTGGATATACGAGAATTATGACAAGTTATAAATTTTCATATGATTTTAGACAGTTTTTATTTACCTACCGTACAAATTTTGAATTAATCCACAAAAAATAAGTACATAAGAACTGTCGATGATACGAATAAGGTTATAGCCAATGTAATAGTAGATATATGAATTACTACTCAATACTAGCTATATTATAGTTTAAATTAAAAGGATATTAGATACTAGACACAAAAATTAGTATTAGTTGTAAATGTATCTACATATGTATATGTGAACTACAACTAGGGACTGCTGCGGCGCCTTTTTGTCTGATAAACTCAATATAGGTAGGTAGATAGTGTAAATATTATTCTTGAAATAATCTCAAAGCAACTCATTAACATCTTAGGGTACTTATCGATTTTTATTTTAAACGTTTTCAACATAAGTTTTTCGTAACTAATCTGAATGATATTAACAAGGACTTCAGACCTGTACTTACTAGAAATCTATACTGCCTTATTAATTCCATATGTATTATAAAATTAAATATGACACTTTAGTCTTACTTTACAAAAAAAATAAAAAATAGTTTATGGGAGAAAAAAGCGCCACGTGCATAGTGTCAGGTGCGTGCCATGCCGTGCTTCTCCCATACAATGGTTGGGTTAAAACTTTGTGTCTCTGATGCACACCTTCTGTGAGTCGTCTTCCTCCACCTCGTCCATCGTCGATAGACGCCTTTCTATTTCCGATTGTGCGTTCTTTGATATCAGTTTCTTGTGTTTGATACTGTAATTTAGGAATAGTTCCAATAGTTCTATGGAAGATTGTCTATTTACGAGAACCGAACTTCAGTCTAACAATTTAACTTAGCTTGAAATTGGATTTTAAAATAGAACTATATATGAATTGGTTACAGATAAGATTTATTTTGTTACGTTGTCAGTAAATAATATATAAATAGGTTTTTAAACATTAGCCTACGTTCATTTATCACTACTTACGTCTTCTTTCCGGATTTTGCTTTTAAATCCTTGGAGTCAATGCGATTTTTTACTTTATTACTATTATTGACTTGCTTCCATATACCTGTTTTATTCATTTCCTCAGAAATATTAATTGAAGCCAACGGAATATTCATAATATTTCCATTAATGAGAGGAATTTGTAGATTTTCTTGGAATGCTGGGGGATTACTCTTGATGGTGTCCTACAATTGAACAGCCTAAGAATTGTTTTTAATCAAGAACATTTCGGAAATCTGTATGTTTTATATGGTTGCTACAATAAATGACATTCAGTTTAATATATTTACAGTGAAATCTACATATATCTACTTTTTCTAAATAATCAAAATGAGTATTTACAATGGTGTATGTTAAGAGTAAGGTGGGTCAATTTTATTCATTGTTTGGATTATCTTGTATGTTAAAATCGTAATATTTTCGAAAACCATCCCACCTCAACGTCGCCTAGTTCTCGAAGTTCATCTTGGTTCCTTTTAGTCATTTCAGGCATCACATCATCTAATATTTTAAGTTCACGTCGTGTAAAAAACAAATCTAGTGATTTCCTAATGCCTATCATCACAACTAACATCAGTGGAAATAGAATAGATGTCATAGAGAAAGATTTTATTACCCACAAACATACAAGACAAGTTAATTGAATCGCAGTAAATAAATGAACGCGTCGAATTGGTACCTGGAATTATAGAATATTTTAATTAACTTTTCTAAAGAACAACAAAAAAAATATGTTAATAATACACAACTTACTTGTCGCAGAAACATGTGGTCTGGCTGATATTTTTGAGGCATAAACATTATCAGGATTCTATCGAAGAATTGAAGTCCTTTCAGTGAAGCTACACCCATATACAGAAAAACTCCAAATAATACTGGCATTGGTATATGTCTTAGTACTGGTGTCAGCACTACTGAACAACCTATTGTTAAAAATATTAGTATATGGGTAGCCCTTTGTTCTCTAACACCTAGAAATTGAGGTTTTTCTCCTGGAGCAGCACATTCTGATTCCACTTTCAAAGAATTGACGTGATTAATACTGAGTACAGTCGCAGCTACGAACCATGGCAGACCCATAATGGAGCATATTTGTATGAGAATTGCTAATACGAAAAGATCAAGATGATATCCACAACCCTTTTTCAGTTTATTTTCTTTACGGTTTACAATTACAGCTGTTATTTGCTGATCCATGAATATTAAAATTGTTCCCAGTAAAGCCGGTAAAATAGCAACAAGCGCTGACCAGACAGGGTTTCCGTTAAAAGGCGTAATGACCCATTCACGTGACGGCAATGTAGGCTTAAATTCGGAAGGCACCTCCAATTTTGGAGTTTTTACTCCAACTTTAAAATCAAGGAAAGACATGGATAATATAGCTATGATAACGGAGAAGTCGCTTATGAATTGTCGTATCTGTAAATGTTAATATATTATTATTATTATTAATATTTACAAAGGTTTTGTTAAAATTACATTATGCTATATATGCATCAGTTTTTAATAGTATTATAATATTCATAGTCAAAAAGTATTAAAAAAGTTATATAAGAAGTTCACCTTGGATGGGAAGAAAAGAGAATTTTTAAAGTCTTTCAATATTATAGATATCGTGAAAGTTCCAAGGAATAAAATAATTGACATCAAAAATACATCTGGCACGTACACCTTTGTATCACATCCACCACCAGCTAAGGTTCCGTTATACAGCTGAAAATAATAAAAACAATAAATAAATAAGTTGAACTAAAGTTTTGAAAAATAATAAAGAACTTCTTAAAATTTATATGCTATCTCATTTCATATCTAAAATGTACCAGTTCACAAGATTGCATAATATTCCACGTCATATTGATATTGAAAGTCAATTAGTTAGGTACCTGACAAGACTCCTTGTCGATTGAAGTCCAATTAAACTGTTCCGGCACTCTTGAGTAATTGCTCGGTAAACAATAGCATTCATAATTGAGCACTTCATCAGGGCGCGTCTTCAGAGGGTATTTTTTGCCGATGGAAATAACATTTTCTACAGCCTAGAATGATTTAATTAAATTTATTATTATATTACGATTATAGGCGTATTATCACACATACTTACACTTTCTTTATAATATTACCTTATAAATAAATATAAATGCAATCAATGTTGCGAAATTTTCCTCAGTAAATCGTGTAATATAACAAACTAAAGCACTAGCATCAATTGCCACTAAAGTAACCAAAATTATTGTCGTCCACGTTCCAATACAAAATCTAAATGACATGTAGTTCCATCCAATTTGCTTACAGAACTCGAATACTATTGTTTCAAATACTAATACTGGTCCTGTGGATCCTAAGATAGTTAGAGGTTGCCCTGAAAAGAATCCATATCCCATTCCGCATACAAAACCAGATACTAAAGATTCCATTGCAGCCATGTTTTTTCCAGTAGCTTCACCTAATAATCCACCGAAAGTGATTATTGGCGATAAACATGCAAAATATAGAAATATCCATGATGCAACGCACTGTAAAGCAAATGCATCCTTAAAATCTGACCAATACCAAGGTGCCTTTCTTTTCAGATCATTAATTAGCCCACCAAACAATTTTCCAGTTCTAGCTAAACCTGATTCTTCTCTTTGTCTTTGTTCTTCTTCTTCCTCATCTGGTTCTTCTTTCGGATTATTATCATTAGGTCTTTTGCGAGGATCCTGTGATGGGATAGCCGCTGGAGGTTCTATACGAATTGCTGGGTCCCATTCACCTGGCGGTAGTACTGTCACAGCGTCGAGAAATTCATCTATACCAGCTAAAAGGTGATCTCGTTTTTTAGCTCTATATGCTACTTCATGAAAAATTTCATCTGACATTAATGTTGCCATTGCTCTGCCTATTTCGTGGAAGCTAGAATTACTGTTTGGTGGTCCCAGTAGTACAAACATGAACCGAGTAGGAACTGGTACTTCTGTTAAATCTCCCATAATAGTTCCTGTTTTCAGTCGGACAAACGCTGACAGAGTTTTTTCTAGAAAATCCACTTCTCCAACCAATATATTAGAAGCTTCAGCTCCAGGAGGTATTTTACGCATAAAGTGGGTGTTACATTTGTGATTAATATCTCCATTCATAGGCAAATCACCTGAACTGTGATTACGATACATAGATAAATTGCTTGGACTTTTTATCATTCCTTCATCGGGGGCTGCACCTGAAAATATCAATTTTACTTAACGATTTTAGGTTGACTTATTTGATAAGACCAAAATTAGTAACATTTAACATTCAGAACATTAAAAAAACATATAATAAAATGTGTTTGGTGTATTTCTAACGTGATATTACCTACTTAATTAATTAAATGTGATTATGTATACTAGTGAACAATGTATTAACAATGTGTATTTATTATAAAAATATAAAAAATGTATCTACAATCCTTTATTGTAATATTTAGTTTCCAAAATCAATTATATAATTATTGTAGTATCTAAAATGATATAAAATGAAGCAAAAATGTAAGCCAAAATAGCACAAAATATGCAGACTTCAAAATTGCAAGTAGCCCAAGAATGAAATGAGCACACATAACATTGAAAGTTTAAAAAAATAGTATAAAATATTAATGGAATTACAGACTGAAACATATATTACACCAATGAAGAGAGGTTAAAGTATAAGCGGTTACCCGCATTAGAGATGCCTAGGAATCGACCAAAATCTCCTTTGTGAGAATGTCCACTTGATGTACCGCCTTCATCCACTGGAATATAACGCCAATAGTTCACAAAGGAAAGGAATTAAGATACCCCACTTTTGTTACAAATATTAGGGGAGAAAATACGAAACACCAATTATAATAAAGGTATTATAGAATTAACATTGAAACTAGCTTAAAAGTGCTTGCGTGTTGAATATCAGTCAAAGAGCGTGATTTGGTGAGCTGATGCACACATTTTACCGTTACACGCTTCTCTGACCTGGCACGGCTAGATAAGAGCCTCTTGCGTCAGCAGCGTGAAGAAGAGCCGTGTTGGGGGATGAGGTGGACCCCCGACAACTCCTTGAACTGGAGCGTCGAGAGCCACCATCCTGTAAATCTGACATAATATCGCCACAACGTCCATATAATTTCACCTATAATATAATATAGAAATAATTAGATTTTCCATTTATTAAAAATAGGTTTACTCACTTTTACAAGATGAATGATTTCTTCCTATATCTGCTAGAGATCTTATTAGTGGGAGCCTTGACATATTATTGTGATTACGTTTTTCATATTGATGTCTGTGCCTTCTCAATAATGCATCTTTAACTTTCTCTCTCCGATCATATGTGAGGCCGCCATCAACAACCATGTTATCGAGAACGTTTTCAGCAACTTGTTCTAAAGAGTTCGCTTCTAGATCCAAAATTACTGATCCATTTAGAATAAGGCTTCGAAGCTCAAACAGAGAATGCAACGAGAGAGTGGCTACGTGGGGCTTAGACCATCTATTGCCTCCTTCTTCAACGTCTTCTTCAAATTTGATCCAACGAGCTGTTTCTTTCCATTCCAACTCATCTCCATCTTTAACCAGTTCTTCCATTTCAGAGAACAGTGGATGCGATTCAAGAGTGGAATCATCAACATCTTCTCCTAGAATAAATTGCACTCTTTGTGCGGGCGGAGTTACTGAAAACCAATGTAATGCATTTAAAGTTTATTATTACTTAATAAATCGCTATTAAATATGAAAATGTTGGATCTGATATCTAAATACACATAAAAATGATTTCTTGATGATTGATTGAAGAAAACCGAAGGAGGTTGATGCTAAATAAGCATGCATCCACTATAATACATTGATGGAGAAATCAAAGGAACAACGACTTGGTTTTGATTAATTAACTCATGCTTGGTCTGATTTGCAAATAAGATTGTAAAAAGTTTAAATAATAATTTGGAAGAGGTCATCTAGATGATTCGCGATGTTAGTCTTACATGTCTCTCCATCATCCGTTACGCTGAGTCTTCTGACTCGGGCCATAATTGCTGGGCCTACGAATTCGAATTGATAATATTGCAATTAAGGAAAAATCTGTGTTTGTATTTAATAAATGGAATATATTTTAAAAGTAGTTTTAATCAATGGTTATAAAATTTTATTTAGCTTTATAAAATCAGTTTTTTGTCTAGACATTTTGACTGAGTTTATCTTTATAATAAAATTAGAAGTCTGAGCTATCATCTCATTAGCTGGTGACAACTGTGAATTACGTTCTTCAAAGAGATAACGAACCTCTCTTTTTTCTTTTGATCATTGGTTAGCAAGAAAAATATAGTTATAAAAAAGATCATGTCACACTGGATAATTCATAACATTACTAGTATCTGCCTGTAGCTTAGTATTTATTTATATTTCATTAATAACGTGTTAAATCCCCTAGAAGCTAATGCTTTTTCATTTTAACTAATTAAATAAAACTTTTTGTGAAAGTTGGACATGTTATACCTACTGCCACACTCACAGCCGTCGGGTAGAATATAATAAAACATTTAAAGTAAGTACTGTCTTTATGGCTTACATCACACGATATAGTACAATTTTAAATAGAATTCGGAGAATACACTCGGTTAACCCTAATTCTTGTTTTAATACATATATTTAATATAAAAATACCATTTACTCATTGAAGAAATATTTAAAGATAACAGCAAATACAAAGAAATTTAAATGTATATAAAATATAGCACAAAGACACTTTTACATCTTTACATATAATGAAATTGTGACCGATCGCTGTCTGCACGTGTACATGTAAGATATTTGAAAAAAACTAATATAGGGGGTCTTTATTAACGCAATAGAACCCGAAGTAATGATTTTTAGAATTTTTGTCTATTTCTTTGTTGGTCTATGCGTTTGTATGCACTAATCTCAGAAACGGCTACACCGATTTGGGTACGGTTTCCACTCATATATTGTGGTAAGCTTAACTTAACATTTAGTAATTGTTTTATTTTAATCATTCATAATTAAAAAAAATATTTCATTTCAAAGAATCACCATGGGACGAAGCCGCGAAAGCGAGGTTGAGTCGCTAGTTTATAATATTAGTATTATAAGTATAAAGGCATACATAAGAAAATAAATTATTCTTCGTATTGAAATATTAATTACCCTTTAAATGTTTGATTAAAAATACAACTCACTGGGTCTCTCCGGATCTTTTTCCCCATTATGATGGTGGTGTTTGTGTTTTCGGTGTGAGTGGCGGCGCGCGGGCACGTGGACGCCCACGAACACGGTATGTGCTCGGTGACCTGTACAGGGATTTATATTTTAATAATTGCGACAAATATGGCATTAAATTAATATTTCAAGATTACTTGACGTTTGAAAGTGAGAACATTAAGGTACTCTATACAGATAAATATAATTGAAGTGCCAGTTTGTAATGACAAAATAACAGATTTTTACTAAATGCATATAAAATTGTATACGGTACTTATAAAAAAACATAACTTTTAAATTTTTGTCTGTCTGTCTGTTTGTTCCAGCTAATCTCCGGAATGGCTGGACTGATTTTGATGGGATTTACACTGGCAGATAGTTGATGTTATAAGGAGTAACTTAGGCTACTTTTATTTAAGGAAAACAATAAGGGTTCCGTTAAAAAAAATTTAAACCTTCCTAGGGACGCACACGAACAGAGCGAGGGTAAGTCGCTAATTAAATTATATATCAATAATAAATAATATAATCTGATTGTAGGAGAATTTTGATGTTTGTTAAAAAATTTTTTAGTCGATTGAAATCGAAAAAAATATTAATTTTCATATTTTAATCGTTATTTGTGAAAACATAATCTATAATAGGTACTTTTGTTATTAGCAATGTACAGAATTCGAAATCGAGACATCTAAATCGAATAAGAAAGCTCAGATCTTCATAGAAATAAAAATAAAAATCTGAATATCTGTTAGTTATAACAGTTAGTTATGATATCACATTTAAAGTTCGAATTAGATCTATTCCGCAACCTGTTGAAGAAAAAGTTATATTATTAGAAAGAAGTTACATGCTATGGTAGGCCATTGAATCAACTGGTGCTAAAGTCACTATTTAGTCTATCGATAAAATTATTGATTCAATTTTTTTTACTACTATACTGGATATTTTTTATAAAAGTAAAGGTGTAAATAACCATAAGCAATTAAATAATAAGTATCTGTTAATGTTAGTTCCGAAAGTAGTAATTAGTAATATCTATCCAAAATTAGCTTATATAAGGGCTTTGTTTCTTATGAACTTTCTATTTCTGTATGTGCCTAGCTGTGGATTTTAGTTTAAACTAGCGACTCACCTTCGCTCGGGTTCGTCCCTAGGTAAGTTTTAACAATTAGTATAGAATAGATAGACTATATACTATTATATACATACATATATTATTTTTTTCTAACTTAAACTTGACGTATTGTTGTCGATGGTAGGTCCACCGCAATTGAAAGTAATCCAAAGTAGTGATTCCCATACAAAATAACCAGTTCACAAGTTTTCGATTTTCCAGCTGTTCTTATGGGTTTTTCCTATTTAATATATTTTTTTATATTTAAACCATCCCTGATATACCTCCAATAAAACAAAAAATAATTATTCAAATCGGTTCAACTATTTTTGAGTTTTAGCCAGACTAACGAACAACAATTAATTTTTATATAGATAGATGAAATAAATAATAACAACCACTAAAACATGGCAAGGGCTGATTTTGTAAAATGAACAGTTGTAAAATTCAGAGAAATATTTCAGGGTAACTGTTTAGCAGCATATATAAGTCTGTTCTCGTACAGATAAGCTAAATAGCTTTTAAAAATGATATATTATATAATAAGCTCCAGAAGAAGTACAAGTTTCATAATACACAATTCCACTCGAAGTTCTGTGGGATATGGCGTAGTTAATTACGCTTTGGAAGTTTCACAAGCACACGTGTATGAATTGCGGTGTGATATAACTACAGATACATTTTGGGGCATAAAATCTAGATTTTTTTAGCAATTGTTAGCTAGCTTAAACTTTCGGGATAAGTGTGTATATTTAAATGTATATTACATTTATTTTTGTATAATTAAATTATTAGAACATTAAATATTCAAGAACCAATATAGCTGATTTTACAACTATGTACATTATGTACCGTAAACAATGAAATCTTGCTTTATTTCTACACTACATGCATATTTTCATCTCACTTTTACAACGTTACATTTTAGCACGCAGTTTTAGTAATCGATCTCAACTTTTAAGGTTAATCGATAACTGAACACTTTTAGCAAGACTTTAATGGTCGCTTGACGAAAATGAAATATACCTACGCACTGTATATAACAATTGGCTAATTAATCTTGTTATTGATAGCGTGCTTGGACCACATTTACCATGGTTAGATCACCTCTCCAGTCACTTAGATAGCAAATTAGGGTATTATGTGTTCGACATGAATTTGCAATCCAGCTGAGATATAGATCTTAATGTTCGTTTAGATAATAGATTTTATATATACATCTTATAAGCCACTAGCATTGCCCGCGGCTCCGCCCGCGTTCAGATGACCAAAATCCAAATTCATAGATTTTACATATAAGTATACTCTTACATTGCAGTTTTTGTATTTTTTCTCAGAAATGAGACATTTTCCCGCGGTAAAAAGTATCCTATATGTTGACCTGGATAAACAGCTATCACATACCAAATTTCATCAAAATCCCTCCAGTGGTTTTTTGCGATGCGGTAACAGACAGACAGACAGACAGACAGACAAAAATTCTAAAAACTATAGATTCGGAACCTGTATCGATAATAATATCTATTTCAATAAGATTTTCCAAAAAATATTTAATGTACAGATTCGGCTTAGTTACAATTTTATTATATGTATAGATTACTATACTCAGTCTTTTAGAGAGTACATTTAAAATCGTATTATCGGACTATTATAAATGCGAAGTTAGCGGATATTTGATAGCAACCGACTAGAATCTAAGCCAACTTACCTTTTACCAACTGAAGTAGGTAAAAGTAAAGGAAAGTAATATATTATTATATTTAATACAAATAATATTTCATATTTATTCACGATCAAAATTGTACACGTGATAACTTTATTAGAAACAGTATTATAATTTCCTCTTACATTTTTTGCCTCCAGCTCTTTTTGTATTTAAATGCGAGAAAATTGCTTAGTTACTGTAAAGATATATTCTGAGCACGTATCTGAATTAAACCTCGCCATAAAGTCTTTCAAATTGAATTTTATTATAAATCTGTTGCTCAATCAATTACTTAAAAGTATGAGATAGTATATGAGTATCTAATACCTTTTATTTATAAAAAGATGAAATAAATTATAAAAAATGTATGTATGTACGTGTATGATTAAAAAATATGTAAAGTTTGTTTGTATTGAACATTATTCTCTCATAAAGCTCACTCAATTTTGAAGAAAATATAGTTGTCTAATGGATATAAAGACACTAACTCACTTCCTCAATAATTGTAGATTTAAAAAAATCCAAACAAATAGCAATTCCAAATAGCAATAATATCATAGCCTTTATCATAGCCATGAAAGTAACTTTGATTCGTACGATATTCATATTTCGAGTGTTATAAATGGCCTAGTCTTGACTCTATGTGAATGACATATTGTTATAAATGGATATAGTTTAAAAGCTCGTTGAAAATTATTGAGTATTTCATGAATATATGTATTACTAACTGAAATAAATAGGTACATATTACTTATCTATACATATAATAAAATTGTAACTAAGTCGAATCTGTATATATAATATTTTTTTGGAAAATCTAATTGATATAGACATTATTATCGATACAGAGTCCGAATCTATAGTTTTTAGAATTTTTGTCTGTCTGTCTGTTACCGCATCACGAGAAAACTACTGGACAGATTTTGATGAAAGGTATGATAATAGCTGGTTATCCGGGTCAACATATAGGATATTTTTACAAAAACTGCAATGTAAGAAAGAGTATACTAATATTTAAAACCTAAGAATTTGGTTTTTGGTCATCTGAACGCGGGCAGAGCCTCGGGCAATGCTAGTGCATAATATAGTTTTCAAATGTTAGAATAATTATTAAAATTAATTTAGTTTCGAATTTATCTCTAAGAAACAATAAAAAAAATTATCTATATAATATTAGTATAGATAAATTGAAAAAATAAGTAACATTGCCATATTTATCTTCATTTCTCATATTAATACACGAGTCCAGAACATAATCAATCTAATGTTTTATTTACTTCCCTCTATCAATCATTCAGGAAATGTTATTATTACATACAAGAACATGTTTGTAATCTTGTCACAAAGTTATACATATTTGTAAGTACAACTTGTTGCAACATGTTCGCACAGAATTCATCTATGATTGATCACGTATTAAAGCTTCCATATATGAATATATGGAACAGTATCAATTTTCAATTTTGCAGTCGAATAATAAAAGTTTTCATTGGCAGAAAATACTATCGTCACACACAATTTTATACTACACTAGCGGACCCGACAGACGTTGTCCTGTCTACACGTCTTTAATTTGAAAATTTCAAACTTTATTTAATATATTATTTTCTATTAAAAAAATTTTGAATCTAAACCATTCCTAGATCCCCTTGAACACACACAAAAAATTTCATCAAAATCGGTCCAGTCGTTTGAGAGAAGTTCAGTGACATACACACTCACAGAAGAATTATATATATAAAGATAGAGAAAGAACGCTAAGTAGGCATAGAGGGCAGAGCAGAGTGCCTAGCGCTACGAACTCTACATATTTCTTTCGCTTTACATACTCGACTCCGGTGGGTCCTCAGACTTTTGATATGACCTTTTTAAATTATTAAATACTCGACCTATTTTATACCATCGTCATAGCAACATTATTTTAGCATTATAAGCCTAAATCTAGAAAAGCTGTAGATCCCATCAAGATAATAGAATGTGATGTAAACATGCCCCTGAATTTACAGCTGCTTAATACTCGAGATATGAGTGGATTCGATATACGCGAGTAATATTGTACGTGAAGCATTCATCGATTGAAATTTTATAGCAAGATATAAGTGGAATTTGCGAGATGAATATGTGTAAAATGATATTTTAAGAGTCAATAGAGACGTATGATATGATTTTAGGAATCGAATGGAATGAAAAAGTTGAATAAATGAAAAGAACGAAAGAAAGAGAAGAAAGAACAAACGAAAAGTCATAACGGCGACACGTATGATAGGCGT